TTCCACTTTTCCTGCATTGAGATCGATGCTCATGTACAATAAACACTCTGAAAATTTACTTGTTTCATATTTAAACATCATGTGAAGGGGGGAGGGGGCACTTTTGTAGGGATAAGACATAATTGATGTTTGTCAGGCCAGAAATGGGATATGTCCAAGCAAAAATAGGTTTGACGGGACAATTTGACCAGTGCCAGCCAGGAAATTATTTGAAGCGCTAAAATTAAGCGGTAATTTTACCACTGACAGGTTTTAGAGCTTTTAAAGAAAGCTTGGCAGAGGAGGCTCATTTTCACCATTGGTACATCTTCTACAACTGGGGAAGAAGACACGGTGGTTTGGAATGAGATTCATCACAAAACAGAAGCATTTTCAAACCATATGGGTCATGGCTATCCTGACCCTAACTATTTGGACAATGTCCTTGCTGAGCTGGCAGCACAAGGTGTGGAATCTGATGATGGTTAAGAGGAAATATCAGTGAGGATTCAAAGTCTTAAAAATTCGAGGGAACTTTAGAGGAAATTGTGTACTGTAAATTAAGTTATTTCAGTATTTAGCAGCTATGAAATGTTCATAGGAATAGACTATAGAGAAGGTGTTTGTGTTTTGTTAATGGTTTCTAGGATGGAAACATTTCTGGGCTTAACTTTTGTCCATGCATCTAGGTGCCTTGATCTTGTAGACTAGAGAGACTACATCAGTCTATTGTGACATAGAGAGTGTAAGCAGAACTCACATTTTGCTTGCTTTCTATAACATCCTAGAGAGATCTGAAAATAACAGGCCTCATTACTTTAAAAAATAAAAATAAATATCTTAATTGACCACTCCCCCAATGGGGCTTGTCCAGGTCAATGAAAGCAAATGATGAAACAAATAATTCAAATGAACATAACATGGTTAAAAATCCCAACTGGGGGGAAGCAGAACAGTTGCCTATTTCCAAGCATGACCGAGGAGTTGAACTAGGGTCTATCAAGAAACAACTCTAGCTTTGTGGTCAGAGGGGGACTTGAACACAAGACCTCTAGATTTTAAGTCTGGTGCCCTGACCACTCAGCCACGTTGCCTCCTTAAATTGTCCTTTCAGATTTAGCAGCCACTTGCTTCCCATCACTACTTTCAGAGATTCACAACTGTTCAAGAGTTCATTACATTTAAGTAGCTTAAACATGTGCCACACGTAGGGCCCTGATCTATATTAACAAGGTGAAAATGTTTTCAATAAAATTCAGTCACAGTGAGGAATCACAACAGAGCATTATCTGGCCTTTGGATTGTCACCTAAACAAGCATCAGTTCAGTTTGGAATATTTTATTGGATCTGTTATCCTACTATCCAGGTGCATCTAAGTCTTTAAAGGTCACTATTTTCTTAGTTTTATTATGTTTGGACGGTCACTATTTGAAACCATGAAATTTTATTACTATCTCTGAGGGTCATCATTTTGGGAGGTCGTTATTTTTGGAACTACATGTTATCTCAGTACTTGGCAGGAGGTTCTTATAATAGTTGCTTTACGCGACTACTATGTTGATGCAAAGGGGTAAAGTTTCCTATTATTGAAATTTTCCATGCATATTTGGCAGTGTATTTGGATGAGGCTACCAGGGCAGGAAAAAACCCAGGTCTGATTGCCTGGGGCAAGTAAATATTCCTCTTGGTCGAATGAAATTAGAAGTTCAGAGGCCCGGTGGGCAAGTGAAATTAGCCTCAGTAGTCTTGTGAGTCTTAATAAAAATGTCAGCTTGACAATTTATAATTAGTTAACCATTAGGTTGAAAGCATGGATTAGTCATGAATCTAAGCATACTTTGTTCGCATAGGCGTACAGGTACCTTCGGACCTGGGGGTGCGGTGACCTTCTTGCCCAAAAAAAACATGCAATGCCCGAATGTGTGAGTGTTGAAATCGGGGTGCAAACGCACTCAAAATGCATGAAAAATAAAAGCGTTCAGAATGATTGTTATACTGAAAGGTTGCATACTCAATAACCTCTATCAACAGCCTTAATCAAGTAAATCTAAAACTTTTTAAACTTATTCCTTTTATGGTGTTCGTTCAGTGATAGGCTGATCAGCAACATAGACATGGGCAGTTTGGACGACCATTACAGAAGCTATTTTATATTCCAGATGAGCGTCTCGACATACTCGAGACATTCAAAGAACAACACGAGGCATTGCTAGAAATCCTTCGAGATAGTATTGTTTTGGCCACAGTAGACTTGCAGCTTACACTGCAAACCTTCCATGAATTCAGAAGACACGTAAATAAGATGGTAAACAACATGGAAGTACTAGTGAAACACTGACCTCCAAAGAAAACTTCAAGAAAAAAAATTAAAACACCCCATTGTTAAGACATTCCAAACGGCTCTTCTCAGAGCTTCCAGAAAAACAAAAGTCTTGGTCTACGTTCGCTTTGATTCGTTGCCTTGTTTTGTCGATGGAAAATTTGGAAAGGAAATAACATCCTTATCGTGGATTTCCATGATACACGTTTAACTGACTTGTAGCCAACAGAAAACCCCAGGTAGCTTACAAGCCTTGAAACCCAAAAGAAAAGGCCGGAAAGGAAAGGAAAGACTGCTGTCCCAACTGATTACCATGGCGTCTTCGGTGCGCAACGATACTTCAGATCACTAGCAGATACAAATGGTACACTAACACGGTACTACTTTAGGTAGCAACTCTTAGTAAGAAACCACTTGACG